ATATAGAATTTATATTCGGTTCTGAAGCTGATTTTAGAATGTCCAAAGGGTTAGTCGCTCCAAATAAAAAAAGGAAAGGAAACAAATTTTCATACTCTATAATATGAATTGGGAGCGGTTGATTTTTTCTTTTTTCAAAATAAAAGATTTTGTTACATAGGCACGTGGACGCTGTCTATTACTCTGCTATATGGCTTCTCATTAGAGACTGACAAGGGTGTATTATTCGTTTTTAGTTTATTCCTGCATTGTCAAAATTTCTTCAGATATGGTCTGTACGCAGTTCTCACTTCTAATTCGGTTATAAGATACCTTGAAATAACGTGAAGCAACGCGATAATGTATCATGCCGTATCGAAATCAAACCTAAAGGTGTAGAATTGTATGATAAACATTTTATTATGAAATTAAGAGGGATGTTTTGTACTAATTGCGTGAAATCTAGGAGGAGGGAAAGTTGATAAATATGCCAAATTCAATGAAAGTGTGGCACATCTTAATGGAAAGTACGTTAGAGTTACATGATGTCTACAGTGTTAGCCCCTCTAAATGAAAAAGTTGAAAGTTGTGAAGTATACATTCAACGCAAGCCAAATCAAGCACCATTTCTGTTGTATAAATTTGAAAGCATGAACCATCTGAGAGTAAGCGGTTCTTATCCTCAATAATTTGTATCAAAATTCCAAACATGTGAGAATAAATGTATATGTTTGTTTACACTTCTCAATAATTGAGCATGTGTTTGTTTAAACTGGGAACTGAAGTGGGGCACTGTAGGCCCAGGTTGGTTGCTATGACACTCGCGGCGTGCTCTTCTCTTTACAGAAACTCGCGGTACGGAAACGTGAAAAAGAAAGTACAGTAATAATCGGGAACGAATAAGAATTATTAAAACGTTAAGGTCGGATCACCAAGCTGGTTTTCCCTCCTACGTCTCTTAAAATTCGCTTGAATATTATAATCTCCCCGCAAATAAATAAATAGAAACTAAGAGCAAACCCGAAGTTCCAAGTAAATTTTATTTTATAAATATTCTTGGAAAGAGTCCTGGATTGACTGAGTATACCCTGCCTAAGTAGACTCGTTACAATATATATTAATAAAGCTGTTTTAAATATATAATAAAGCTATTATATAAATAAAGCTATTTATATTTAAATATAAATTATATAAATTAATATACAGCAACAGGAAAGGCCAGTTTGATTTTCCTAATGACAAATCAAGGCGGTTGCAAAAGTGTTTGTTGCTATAAGCTGCAATTAGACGGATGCTTTTGGTTATATTTTTGGTTATACGTTGGGTTTTGGGTTATTGCGTGGTGTACTTGTTTCAACAGCATTCTTAAGAAATTCTATTGGGTGTCTCAGAGAGTTCATTGGGTGACCTAAAATTCTTTTTTGGGTTTAATGACAACAACCAATTTTTACGAAACATCATTGGAACATTTAAAATCGAATGGCCGATGTTTAAATATTACCAAGTATTTTGAAATTTTAAAACGTTTTGCTTCGATTCATCATCAAGTGCCAACAATGCACTTGAGTAAGAACCCATTCACTTTTCTCTCCTTCAACTTTTATATTCGACTTTTTCTCATCTGCTGACAATTTGCCGCTTCATCTGGGGTAACCTCCTTCTTTCCTGCTTGTTAAAGATGCTTTGCTTTTTAGAAATAACTTTATTTTTTATACAATGGAAATTATCCTCAATATCACCATCACTTTCACTTTGATGAAATTCGTTTAGGAGGCCTTCCACACGTTTTCTCCCTTTTTCAGAGATGAGCACGTTCTTGCCATTAGCCGTTTGAAAACCTGTGGATTTGTCGACTTGTGCACTGTTCTTTGCTATTTTTGTACATTCACAATCCTCTTCTTGTAAACAGCCTAGAAATCCTCTTACTTGATTTTGTACCAATTCCTGCGGTTCCTCCAACATGGGTTTTTTTTTATCACTCGCTGTTTGAAAGTCTGCAGAAACAAGCGAACTTCCTAGATTGTTGATCTTGCCCACCTCATCTTGATGTATTTTATTTTTCACTTCTTCCAAGATTTCTTGAGTGCTTATGAAATCTTTATAGTGGTATCTGGTTCATACCAGAGTTCTATATCAAATTGTTATAATGAACGAATTTTCGCCAAAAGATATTGAAAACTATGCCTTCTTATCATGTAAAGATTCAGTTTCCATACGCATGGGTTCAAAAACGGACCCACCCGATTCCTAATTTTTATATCATTTTAGAAAAGATTATAATATTGTTTCTTATAATTTGTCAATATAAGATGCTATGTGAAAAGTGATCGAGAGAGCGGTCCGATTCCAACCATTTGACTACAAGAATACTTGAACAGATGAATTAAAATCTGTGCCTGATGTTGATTTCAGTAGTATAAGCTCATGGATACAAAAATTAAGAATGCTGAAGGTTGGTTGTATAATTTATTTTTGGCCAAAAATCCGGCAGTCGTACAATGCCCAGTGGCGGTTAAATTTAATTTCACTTAACACTGAAAGCACACGTTTGAGAATCAATTCATTAGTATGCGATACGGATCATACGGAGGTGGCCGTAGGTGAAAACTAACTAAATTGTTTCTTACATTAAAATAATGAATTAAAATTAAAACATTTGTGTATCTAACCATTATTCATTATTAAAACACTAAATAAAAGATCAACATTTTGTTGTTTCAATTACGTTCTATATTGTAAGGGTATAGTAAGTTTGTTTAGATATATGCAAGAACGACATGAAGTTGAGAAAGAATCACTTTTATCATGAGTAGACTTAGACTGTCTAAATATATATTAATTTTTCATTCATTTTGCGCAACTGGGTCTGGTGAGTGTTTGTCCGTGTGTCCGTCTTATTTTCTTGTATTCAATCTCGGTACAATTTGAGGTGGTTCTCTCATAAGTTCTTCTGGGTGTTACGACCTTCCACATAAAGTCAGTATACATTGCACCTTGAATGGTGAACAAAAAGAAAGTTGCAGAAAGATGACAAGATGAGGTTGTTTTCTAAATCTCTTATTAATAACTAAACATTTCACTCAGTGTACCGTTTGGTACGTTTCGCCGGATTAATCCTACTATTGTCTACATTGGTTCGATTATCCAATAATTTCTTATATTTATTAACTAACGATGGTAGATCATCTTTTTCCACTTTGTAGCCATGTTTCGGTCTGACTTTATTTTCACGGGCCTGTTTAATGCGTTCCTGTTTAATTTTGTTTTTTTCATTTTTCACTCGCTGCCTATGCGTTTCAGGTTGTTCTTTAATCTTTTTGAGGGAGCGCATACGCAATGAAGCTCCCGCCATAGCTGTGGCACCAACAAACACTTCTCTTTCTTCTGCCATGATATGCACTTTTTGCCCACTTGCAGCTTGAGATTTTTCCAATCCATTTACATGTTTTTTTAATTTGTCTTTATTATCACTTTGCAGACTGTTAGGGCCTGTTTTCAAAAACGATTTTTTGCTTATGATCCTCTTATGTTCTACCAACTTTTGCTTAAATGTTGGATTATTAGGATTGGACTTTTCCGTACGTTTTTCTTTGATTCTATGAACTTCTCGATATTCTTACTATGTTAGGATAATCGAACTCGGCCAATGAGCAAGCTTCCCGCTCAAAACCCATTTGCATTTGATCGCTAGCATCATCTTTAAGCATATTCACCGCCACCATTAACTCTTCGTTGCCCATTGGGAGCTTCAGCCTGAAAAACACCAAAGGCTCCTTGACCCAAGTATACTATATTCCCGCGTGGATATTCCAGTTTTTTCGACTTGTTGTTCAACTTAGATTTAGGAGGTGTTTCATTGAGCACATTATGCACCCTAGCCATACTTTTAATACATACTTTTAATTGTACCAAATTTATTGCTGATAATGTGATGTTGAGAGAAATTCTCATGAGTAGCGTTCAAATTATAGTCGTTTGGTTAATCATTTATATTAACGGCGATACCTCTTGTCGAAACATTACATTCTGAATTCTTTATTCTTAGTAATTTTGTAGAGCAAAAGAGTGATTAAATGCAGAGCGACAATGAGTACGAAACTAATTTATGTGTACGAAACTAATACCAGCCAGCAGAAATATAATGGAGGGCGTAAAAAATGTTTCCATTTTAATACACCCTAGTTCCTTTGATTTGTAAACAATTGCATCTGTTTTTCACTCGAATTTGCTATACCACCCATTGATTGCTAAAGGCGCGCAATCGAACGATTCCAATAAAGTCTGCAAATCGTTCACAAACAAAAACTACTACAATATAAACCATGTCTAATGCCTATAATATAAAATGCATAAACAGAGTATTGACCCTTTATGGGTACAAAACACTACATCTGATAACGAGGGAACTTTATGCGTATAAACAATAAACAAACAACTAGTAGTTATTTAAATGAAGCGGTACCGACTAAGCGACACTGATTTCATGTTCGTGTCCAAAATATGAAAAATGTTATTCACCTTGATGCTAAAATTTGGCAACGCTAGTCGCAATGCAAAAATAGAATCAAATGTATATATATTTACCAATCGAAATGTATTCATCTTTGTTTGACTGCAAAAAGTCGCCATTACATACGTAAATATTTACTATTTATACTAAGCTATGTATATGCTTTTATAAACACCAGCTAAAAGATAATAAAAGCTTACAGACAAAAGAGGAGAGAAAGAGCACGCACTGTGAAAAAGAAAAGGAGCGCATCTTGTGAAACACAAAACAGAGAAAGGAAAAACAACTGTTTTTTATAAGATTTTGAATGAATAACGCGAAAGCTGAATACACATATGCTGATGAGATACAAATTTATGCACAGATTTGTTGCTGCGCTATCGGACTTTCAATGTTTAAAACGCAGTAAAATATTAAGTGTATACAAAAATGTACACCACTTAGGAAACGAGTTAAAAAGTAATAATAATTAAAACAAAAGCAATAAAAAGCAGAGGTAATAATAATTAAAAGAAAGCAGCGAGAAAGCATAACGCGAAAAAACTTTAGCGAATCTCCGCGTATGTAAATTTGTACTTTTGAAAGCAAAAGCAATTTTGGTGAATTTTTAAAAGATGATAATTTCAAAGCTTTTTATGTTCTAGCTCGTTCTTACCGCCTTTTATTGTATTTTTAATATTCTTTTTTATGAAAAAAAAAAGCATTTTATAGTTTTAACGGATTCGTATCCAAAATAAAGATTTCGCCAAAAATTTTATTATTGCTCGTGTATAGACATTTTGTTTGCATGTGTGAAAACAATACAAGCATACATTATTTACATGCAAACGTGTGATTATGTGTCGGCAAGTACGAACTTGGTAATCATGAATTATCAGATAGCAAAGACAAGTAATAGAGGGAGACTTTTTCGACAATGCAGTAAATTCTGAGCGCCGCATCTCTAATATTATCAGCGCGCTCTGCGCCCTCCTAAATGACAAAGTAAAATTATATTTGTAAATGAACACTTTTATTCATTCAAATCGATATTTATTAACTAAAGGCAAACATTAAACGAAACGACGAATGTGCTTAGTACACGTGTTTTAATATCTGAAGTAAAAATTACAAAAACTTTATTTTTACCTTTAGGTAATCTTCATTCAGTAGTACTAGTTTTTTATTAGTTAATCTATGTAAATAAAAAAGCACGTACAGAGAAAAATCAACCCAACTTAAATAACGCAAAAGCAGCAGCTTCCCTTTGAACATAAACATAAAGAAATAGGAAGAAAATTTTGCATGTAAACAAAACTGGAAACGTAGTGAATTTATGCTATCATTGTATTCAATGGTGATTACTGATATTAATATCGGGAGCCAGTTTAATGTAAAGGTAAGACTAGATGTAAACGTGATTGTTAAAATATTAATTAAGTACAATTCATTGATAATACAAGGTGAAGAAATCAAAAGTAAGTCAACCCCAAGTAAATCAACACCAATACGAAATTGATTTATTTACCATCTATACCACTTGCCGGTAGCAAGAGCTCAGAGTATTCAACGACGTATATGATCGGCAGATAAATATGCGGCAAGCTACACTTCAATAAAGCGATTAAAATTAGGATGGCGATATAATTTGTGGAATTATTGTAAAACTGAATACATATGCAGTGGCGCAACAAAGTCTACGTTCAGAAAATTGAGGTTTTTTTATTAAAAATTGCATTCATGGGTTGAGGGTCAAAAAATATTTTTCTTAAGACACAAAATCGCATACTAAGGAAAATATCAGTATTTTTTTGACGTGGTATCAAGTTATAATCAAAAAATTGCATTAATCCCATAAAAACCACAAAAAAGTCTGCACAGTTCGAAAACAAAATATCTTTAATCAATGGTAGTTGGTTTTTATATATTTTTCACATTTTACCGAAAAGAAATAAAGAAATTCACTTTAATAGATAAATTATTACTTATATATACGAAAACCTACCTGTAGACATGTAGACTTTCTTGGGCTAACGCATACAACGCATATAATTTCTTACATACTCTTTTGACAAACTGAATACAAACTTTACTTATGCTAACTATATGCGTACTTCAAAAGATATACATATATTTATATTTGTATAGAAGACACCAGCAAGACGAACATTTGTAAACATTGAATAGCTATTTTTTTTAGTGTTATAAAATTTATCCCGAAATCTAGCATATGATTACAAGGAACAACGATAATTGCCATAAAACGCTTAATTTACACTAAAAAACGAATAGCTATAAACGAAGGTGTAAGAACAATGTCTAGCAATGGAGTATTGGATTCATGGTGTGTTTGTAAAGTTCAAACATTCTCGAACACTAGATATTTTCTTCATCTCCGTCACCAGCGAAATCATACATGTCTGTCACCTTAAATGTCTACAAACAAATAAAATAAATCTCATAAATCAATTTCATTACGAAATTTCAAAACTATATCGAGTATTAAGTTTATATATCTATGCATCTATGCGTAGGAGTTAGAAAAACGCATCGCAGACGGCATGAAGTGCTCGTGTATTATGAAATCAAGGTAACTTAATCTATGAGAAAAAACTTGCATTTAACAATTTTTATCACTCCTCTGAATGGAAAGGCAACACCGTTATTTTACGGGCTCGACTGCGAAATGAAACACTAACAATTTTCGTTTTTCCTTATTTTTAAAAATTAAAACTAGAATTTGTAGCTAAGGGATTTAAATTGGTTCTTATAAAATTTCTTAGCAAAATTTTCGCGAGTTAAAAAAACGCCCATTTATTTTTCTCAAAAAATATGTATTTGCTATTCAATATCTATTTCGTCCCCTTCAAAGTAATCTCCCTTAGACATAAAACGCCTATACCAGCATTTTTCTAATCCTCGAAGCATTTCTAATATGCGCTTTTTAGTAAGCCTTTGCGTTACAACGTAAAAATCGAGCAAGGCTTAAAAGGAATCACGACGAATTTGATAAGTTACGCAACAAATTGAACTCCTTATTATTACCAATTTATACGTCTGTCGGTCTGTTTTTTTTTTCATAGGGCGCAAATACGTGCAATAGGGATTAAGATTTAATAAGAGAATATTTCGTATGGTAGGCTTTTAGAATTAGGCATTCTCTATTAGAATTTGTTGTTTTAAGCGGCGTACTTTGCTTTTTGAATTATAATTCACTCCCTTATCCGGCTTTAAAAAGAAATAAAGACACGCTTCCATAGCTTGAAGAGTAAAAATAAGGAAATCATTGGAATTGTAAACTGCAAACGTAACTTTTGAGTAGTAAAGGAAATCAACACAATTATAAACAAACAAGAGGACTTGAAGAGCACGAGTGGAAAAATATAAAAACAATTTGCTGTATAAACTGGAATTTTACATCGTCAAAATAAAAAAGGTTTAAAATGATAGAATATAAAAATAAAATTGGGAAAGTTGTATGTTTGCAATGAGATAATCAGCATTTACCCCTCTTCTTTTTTCGTTTTACGGCGAAAAATATGTGATATTTATCTGCAGTTTACATGAGTATGACTTCCCAAAGCCAGCCAACTGTAAAATAATCCACTCTTCAAGTACTCAACTTAAGTTTGAAGCCACTACGGGCTAGGGCTTTATGCGCCAGAAATTTTCTATTGTTTAGTTTAAAGAAAGATTATGTCAAATTTAGAATGTGAAAATTGTTCTCTAGTGGTTACGTCCAATCTTTTCTGCTTGTCATATTTGTTTTAAAAATTCCATAACCTAAATTAACTAGAGGTGTTTTTGAAAAATGACTAACGAAATAACGTCTAACCACACATTAATTGACAATATGTGTTGCAAGGTTTGTGCTGATACGGATCGGGGATGCATAATGAAACAAATTTGGACCTACTATTGCCTATAAATTCGAAGCAAAATATTAAGTACATATCAATTCAATGAAGACGATGAATATTACAATTTACGGAAAACGTGATTGAATTTAGAGACATATATCTTTAATAACTTTGTGGTTTCAAAACGTGCATAAATTTAATTGTACCAAACTAATCGATTAAGTTAATTTTACCGAAAACTAGCATTGTATTTTAGTAGCAGATGACACTGCCTTTTAAATAAATAAATTTTAAGGCAACCTCAGTTAATGAAATAAATACAATCCCTTTTTAATTTCAACATTCATCATTCATTTTACGTTAACGATCTAGTGATATAACAAGTCAGTATTCAACTGGTTTGATAGTAATAAATCTTGACAAAATAAAAGCCACCATTACAGCAGCACAAACAAAACAAAGCGCAAAAATATAAAAAGATTCTTCTGTAAATATATCCGTGAAGGCTGGAATATCGCTGTAGATTTGTTCGATAACCGCCAATGTGCCTTTATGCTGACGGGCCATTTCTTACGTTTTTATTTTTATTGCTTGTATCTCTTAACGGCGAATGTTCTTCCAGTCAAATTTTATCGTCTTTCTTTTTTTTTGAATGCCTTTGCTGCAGATTTGGTAACTGCTGATAATTTTTCCTCTTCCTCTGGAGCTAATACCGATAAGTATTTGTTACACAACTGCAAAAGTTCCAGAGTGTTTAAGTTACTGCTCAGAAATTGGATATCTTTTACCTTCAAGTGTTCTAAAATAACAAAAAGAAAAAAAAAATAATAGCCAGAGTAGAAAGCTTTTTAATACTTTATTTACCTTGAGCTGATTCGATTAAGGAAAATTTAATCTTGGGTTGCTGACGATTACATACAACATCAGTTTTTAGCAAGCAATTGGGGTTGCTCTGTGTCACCCGCGGAACCGATAGCAGAAATAAAAATTCCCTGAAATATATTGACATAAATATTAAACTTGTATTTTTTTTAATTTCAGGGTTAGTTTTGCTTGTTTGAAGTTTGGCTGCGATTGCAAAAGCTTCAAACTGACGCCAACTCCGACGAAAATGTCAACGGAGCGTGAGCTGGCTCCAGCTCAGCTTCATGCTATGACGTTTCCGGATATTGGAGACGCTTTGCAAATAACGAAAGCCGTAGGGGTCATTGGTAAATATGGTAAGTAAATCTAATTTTTAATGCCTTTTCTTTGTATTATCAAATTCTCTCGGCTTCGGGTAGCTTTGATGGTCTCAGCGAAATTTGCAATGCTTGCGAAAAATAAAATTTACGGTATTCGGAGATTCATCCTCCTCTTGTATTTTCATTTGCTTACCTCGTTGACTTAACGTTTGCTGCAAAGGGATCAAAAGTAACTGTTATACGTTTCACTCCTTTTAAATTAACTCGCTTTAATTCCTTTCCGATTGCCGAAACAATACCAGAAGAACGTGTTAAAGTTCCACTGTAGTATATAGACATAATGTTTTTAGAAAATTTTTGGATATGTTATGAGAGGAAATGGTTGCTTTAAACGGGTGAACTTTAAAAGAGTGTTGCAAATTGACGTTTTCGAATTTTAAACTTTTAGCTATATGTTCGCAAGTCATTTTGAGTAAATACTGCAATGTTGCCAGTCCTGCCTTCATATTGCAAAAGAAAGAGCGTTAAAAACTCTAGTGCTTTCTCACATCAATTTGCGATAAATTTGCATAATGTATTCGGTTTAATAAGAATGATTGTGGTGTATAAACCTTTAAAAAATTTCCTACATAAATTGAATAGAAAAGGTCTAGCGAAAGCTTTAAATCTAAAGAAGTTAACAATTGACACAAGTACGCATATTCCGATGTGACATTGATTAGGACTTCGTAGTCGGTATCCATTGTGCAGCATTCTTACTTATAACAAAAGCGGATCCAACTAATCTCGTCTCGTAAAATGATGCATTCAAATATGCACAATAAATCTGAAGATATTTAAGTTGCTCTCGATAACAAATGAAGCTTGCGAAGGAAGAAACCGGTTTAAAGAAAAATAAAAGCATTTATTGAAGTGATTCTTAGATATTTAATTAATAGTGATTTTATTTCAAAGGGAAAACCACTAATTGTGCCTAATATTGTGTTCTCTAAACAAATCATCGCCTCTAAATAGAAAAGGAATACATACACACAAATTAAATTCGAAGTGTGATAACAAATTCGTTTTGCATTTGTTATACCAACAAAAAAAACCCAAACAAGAAACAAAAAATAAGTCAACAAAAAGTGATAGAAAAAAGGCTGAACATCATTTAATAAAAAAATTCCTAATTAAATAAACATGTATCCTGTTGGTCAACGTAAGTAGCAAAAACACAAAATGCCATTCATCAAGTATTAGTATAAAACGTTATATGTATGTGAGTGAAACGGTTTCATATGTTGCAACATTTTTGTGTATTTAAGTATTCTCTTTTGGTGTTCTAATTCGTAGTACATTAAACAATGACATTAACACTGCACCGCCGAAAGTAAATGACACCGCCGAAAGTACATGTCACCGCTGAAAGTAAATGTCACTGCACTAATGCTGCCCGAAGCCTATTTTAAAATAAAAAACATAAATATTTTTCTATATTGTGAAGATATACAGATTTTACACAAAAATAAATATAATCCTAAATAGTAAAAATACGACTTTGTCCTGTCTGTTCTGTTGGGGTAGCTCCAAATTCTCATTGACAGAAAATTTCGATTTCAATGTCCTCTCGCCGCAAAGTAGGTCATAGACTCTTGGCATGCAAAATATTGGAGTGGTTACCTGAATTTTGTAACATCAACTCCTTAAAAATATAATGTGGGATATTCAGTTCGAAAATGCGCTTAATGGCTGGTTTAGGGGTTACGCAATTGATCTACACGTTATTTTACAAATTCCTGATAGATACGGTACTTTTAGGAATATATAAGAAAATGAAATTAAAAGCGCCTTGTTCAAATTTCAAGCGTGACAAACCAACACCTCTAACTAGGAAATACAATTTTTTCTAAAGTGTACCCATATATGCTTTGATAGCTTAGCTTCATCGTAAGTACCAAATTATTTTCTTTTACTTTGTTTAAATAAAAAGAAATTATCGGACGTTTGGCCAAAATAAACCGATCTTTTAAACCGTTTCACTTAACCCTTTTTGTCCTTGTTGAAAAACTTCTTTAAAAAGCCGGCAGTAATACGCCTCTTATTCTGGTTGGCGATGTGCACATAGCCTTATCTTATTCCATTTTGCGAGCTTGAACATCTTTGAAATTGTTTTGAACTTCAATAAGGTAGAAACTTTCAAAAAAAATGACCAATGAAGTAGGTTAGAATAGTCAGTCGATATGATATACAATAGTATTATAATATATATATTAGTAGTTAATTGTGCCGCGATTAAACTTCGGGTATCCCCGGATTACACGCCGTAGTTTGCGTCTATAATTGAAAAAATCCATAAAAAGCAAGAATTCGTTCTAAAGCTGCGTAAATTAGAACCAAGCATTGGTTGCATATCTTAATATTATATTGCGTTCCTGCGGATCACTTTCTATGTGATGATTACCTTACAAAACTTGTGGTATATATATAAATTTCTAAAAGATACAAGGTAAATTGTATTGGAGAAAAGTTGATGTCTGCTCTGTGTTAATGTTCATTCACCATGTTATAACCGAGTTTTACGACATCGATGCTTTAAAAGGTGAGAAGACTTATGAGATATTTTACGGACCTCACAAATCAACACTGGCGTGGTAATTGGCGATTCGCGTTTAAAACGTAGGAAGTTTGAAGTGTAAATTATTGTAGCATCTCAAAAACTGAGATAAAGGTACTGCAAAATTGGAGAAAATCAAAACTATTGTGTATGTTGGCTGACGTAAAATAAAAAGGCATATTATTTAGATTATGATTGATTGTGTATTTGTTTTTCTTCCTTATTTTACATTGAGATTTTCCTTTTTAATTATAGACTCACAATGGACACCTACACCCACTAGGCCACAGAGCCCTTCTCAAGTGCAGACTAGCTTCGAAACATTGACATGTAAATTAAAAATTCTAAATTGTAAAACCTAACATTGGAAAATTATATATTGGTTTTTGTCTTCCTTTTATCTTATTCTGCTTACATTTTCTCTAATATTAAATTTTACTAACCATACTCCAAAACTTATTTTTTGTGTTAAAGGAATAAATTCGTATTCTACTAACTTCCTTCGACTACTAACATAGAATCTAGTGTCTAGTTAAACCAATGCTACATTAGCTAATCTAAAAAACTTGCTAAACTTCCTAAAATTTGTCCATAGTGCTTTTCATTTGAAGTCATTACAAACAATTTGTTTTAATCTAAACGAATTATTTGTTACTGTTACCGTTAAATATAATTTGAAGAGCATATCATGGAGCCATAGTTTCAAAAAAAAATTGAAATGAAAAATTGTTAAATTTTCAGCACCATCAGCTCCTGGTTCATCTGTGAATCCCACCGCTGTGACCAGCCCAAGTGCTTCAAATGTGGCAGTGGGTGGCGCGACTGTGGGTGGTCCCGCAGGAACACAGTCGGCCGTGGCGTCAGCGTTAGGTGCCACTTCCACAGTTGCAGCAGCAGCGGCGGCAGCTACTTCCACCACACAGCCTGAACTGCCAGTATTTACATGCCCTCGACGACCCAATTTAGGCCGAGAAGGTCGCCCAATTGTTTTGCGTGCCAACCATTTCCAAGTAAGCATGCCACGCGGCTATGTGCACCACTACGACATTAACATACAACCTGATAAATGCCCACGCAAAGTGAATCGAGAGATTATTGAGACAATGGTTCATGCATACAGTAAAATTTTTGGGGTATTAAAGCCAGTATTTGATGGTCGCAACAATTTGTATACCCGGGATCCATTACCTATTGGTAACGATCGCCTTGAATTGGAGGTCACGCTTCCAGGGGAAGGCAAAGATCGTATATTTCGTGTTACTATCAAATGGATGGCTCAAGTTTCTTTATTCAACCTCGAAGAGGCTCTGGAAGGTCGTACGCGTCAAATACCTTACGATGCCATATTAGCTTTGGATGTTGTCATGCGGCATTTGCCTAGCATGACCTATACTCCAGTTGGTCGCAGCTTTTTTAGTTCGCCTGATGGCTATTATCATCCGTTAGGCGGTGGTCGTGAGGTATGGTTTGGATTCCACCAAAGCGTACGCCCTTCTCAATGGAAAATGATGTTGAATATTGATGGTAAGCTTATTGTTTGCACTGCACAAGCTTCCATATCATATTTCCATTTCCAGTGTCAGCAACGGCTTTCTACAAATCACAGCCAGTTATTGATTTCATGTGCGAAGTTCTAGACATCAGAGATATAAATGAACAACGAAAACCGTTAACAGATTCTCAGCGTGTTAAATTTACTAAGGAAATTAAGGGTCTAAAAATCGAAATAACCCATTGTGGACAGATGAGACGTAAATACCGCGTTTGTAACGTTACACGACGACCAGCACAAATGCAATCGTAAGCTTCCTAAAACACGTGTAAGGTAAAAAGTACACACATACGTTTGTTTCTCACTCACAGATTCCCTTTACAATTGGAGAATGGCCAAACTGTGGAGTGTACGGTAGCGAAATATTTCCTCGATAAATATCGCATCAAGCTACGTTTTCCTCATCTGCCATGTTTGCAAGTAGGCCAAGAACATAAGCACACCTATTTGCCTTTAGAAGTGTGCCACATCGTTGCAGGCCAAAGGTGCATTAAAAAATTGACCGATATGCAAACTTCCACCATGATTAAGGCAACTGCTCGTTCAGCTCCAGATCGTGAGAGGGAAATCAATAATTTAGTCAAGAGAGCAGATTTTAATAACGATTCGTATGTCCAAGAATTTGGATTAACGATTTCCAATTCAATGATGGAAGTAAGAGGACGAGTTTTGCCACCGCCTAAGTTGCAATATGGGGGTCGAGTCTCCAGCATGACTGGTCAAGTGAGTATAAATCCATGTCGCTGCTATATTTATATGGTAGTATTTATGTCTGTTATAATTTTCATCTCAAAGTTTCGTTTAGATGATGAATTTTATGCCTTTTTTGATAATTGCTTTTAGCCAAGTTAAAAATCGTATGGCAATTACTTTGTATGTCACTGTTCGTATCACTTGTTAAGGATGTGTGTTTGTTAGTTAAAGAATAGTATATTTGTGGCTTGACTTTTAAAGTATAAGAGGAGTAATTAAATGGGATAAAAAAGTTTTAGTTATTTTTGCCCAAAATTTTAGCAACTCTTCCCGCCACAAAACAAAGTAAGCTTGGCTTCACCAAATCAAGGCGTTTGGGACATGCGGGGTAAGCAGTTCTTTACTGGGGTGGAGATACGTGTGTGGGCTATAGCTTGTTTTGCTCCACAGCGCACAGTGCGTGAAGATGCTTTGCGTAATTTCACCGCTCAATTGCAAAAGATCTCGAACGATGCTGGCATGCCCATCATTGGCCAACCATGCTTCTGCAAGTACGCAACAGGGCCCGATCAGGTGGAACCAATGTTTAAATATCTAAAGCAATCTTTCACAGCTTTGCAATTAGTTGTTGTGGTCTTACCTGGTAAAACACCAGTTTACGGTAAATACTGGAAGCAGCAGATGTAACCGGTGAACATTTATTATATTTGGAAATTTTACAGCTGAGGTGAAGCGTGTAGGGGACACCGTCTTGGGTATGGCAACCCAATGTGTCCAAGCCAAAAATGTGAATAAAACTTCTCCGCAAACGTTGTCAAATTTGTGTCTCAAAATAAATGTAAAGCTTGGTGGAATCAATTCTATTTTGGTACCATCTATACGCCCAAAGGTGTTTAATGAGCCGGTAATATTTTTAGGAGCTGATGTCACTCATCCGCCCGCTGGTGACAATAAGAAACCTTCGATTGCTGCTGTTGTCGGTTCAATGGATGCTCATCCTTCACGTTACGCTGCTACAGTGCGCGTTCAACAACATCGCCAGGAAATTATCCAGGAGCTCAGTAGCATGGTGCGGGAATTGCTGATAATGTTTTACAAATCGACAGGTGGTTACAAACCTCATCGCATTATTTTGTATAGGGATGGTGTATCCGAGGGGCAATTTCCTCATGTTCTACAGCATGAACTGACAGCCATAAGAGAGGCTTGTATTAAGTTGGAAGCCGAATATCGTCCGGGCATAACATTTATTGTCGTTCAAAAAAGGCATCATACTCGCTTATTTTGTGCCGAGAAGAAAGAACAAAGCGGCAAGTCTGGGAATATACCGGCTGGTACGACAGTAGATGTGGGCATTACCCATCCAACCGAATTTGATTTTTATTTGTGCAGTCATCAAGGCATACAGGTAAATATGAAAAGTTCTTTTATTGAGCAGTTGTAATTACATAAAGAAACACTCTAGGGTACTAGTAGGCCATCGCACTATCACGTCTTATGGGATGACAATCACTTCGATTCCGATGAATTGCAATGTCTAACATATCAACTTTGTCATACTTATGTACGTTGCACCAGATCTGTGTCAATACCCGCACCGGCTTATTATGCTCATCTTGTGGCTTTCAGAGCAAGGTAAATAACTATAGAGCTTATGAATAAGGATGCAAAAATTCTTTGTGTAATTTCAGGTACCATCTTGTTGAAAAAGAACACGATTCTGGTGAAGGGTCTCATCAAAGCGGATGTTCAGAAGATCGTACACCCGGCGCAATGGCAAGAGCAATTACAGTTCATGCAGACACAAAAAAAGTTATGTATTTCGCCTAAAAAATAAAACCTTCAAATTCGTTACGCAGACCAAACATGTTCATAAGAAAAAGAAAGCCAAGAAGCTTCGTCAAATTAACAGAAACACAAATTTCGAATATTAATCTACACAATTATAGACACAAAGCAAAAGTGACAGCGACACTTTCCAAAGGATAGAATGCTAGAAGACAAGTCTTTTAATTTAAATATCAATCTTAAAAGTGAAAAAAACAGTAAATTTCAATCACCTATAAGCTTTAGTTTAAGCGAAATTACTAATTTGTGTAAGTAAATATTTTTTACAAAAACTGAAAATAATGCTCTCGCCTTATTTTATATCCCTTTTGCTTTTAATATTTTTAGTAACGCTAATTTTTTTAAAGGGATCTAATTATGGAGACCAAGTACAAGCAAACGAGTTTATTCTTTATTGCTGTAACTTTTATTTATTACTTTTTCTTGTAACATTAGTTCGTTGTTGAGAATATATATTTATATTTTGTTTATATATTTTTTATTTTCCTTAACGATGAACCATAGCATAATGTAATTAAACAGCTTTTTGACCAGCTTGTGAATTTGGACTCACTCAACTGTATATGTCTGTTTGTAAGCGGCGTTGAACTTGTAAAGGAGATCGAAATATGGTATATGTGTATCTCCAATAGTCGATAAATTTTTTTTACCTGGGAAGTAAACCTAATGCAAGTTTTTATTGTTTACGTCTATAAATCGTTCAATTTCACCCAATAACGCCTATAAATAAAAGAAAATTATTTTAATACTTAGATGTGTAATGGTTACACAAGTCTTCAACAGTACATAAAAATAGAATTCCTATATTTTTTCCATTATTTTTTATTATCATGTTTCTCAAGGGCGTATATATTATTACATTTCCTTTCAACCCAAAACTTTAAAATTGTTTTAAAAAAATTCGATAATTCTCAAAACACGATTTAAACGAAGGTCGAGTAAAAAATCTCATCAAAAACATTGAGAAAGGGATGCCTACGTTGTCGACGAACATTTATTTCAAACGTCATCAAAGCAATTTGCATTCTCAAATTCTTTTTTAAAATCAAACATGTTTTCCCTACGCAACGAATCAAACAGTTACTTTTAATAGTTTGTTTGATATGAATAATTTCAAAAATGTATGAAAAGTGAAAAAACAAGTCAATAAACAAATATTGCGGCCACTGACGTCCACGTCCAAAACTTACCGTTCGAGCCGATAGTTACGTCACTATCACTTTCCTGCTTGCAAATGGTCAAACAGACCTACAAGAGAAGTTTCATACTTTCTCCAATGCATAGCCTAAAAAATTTTTCTTCTTTCCATTTGATTTTGAGAATAGGTAATTTGAAATACGCACTTGCGTATGCACAGACGAAGAAAACAAAGTATGTATTCCCATTTTCTTTCGATAAAGACACAGTTCAAGTTAACATTTAATTTTCCAATTTGAAATATGTAACAAAAGGGCAAAAAGCATCATTGAAGGAAAATAGTTATTATAATTTAAAAAACACTAAAAGGTAAAAAAAAAAAAAATTTATCTTCAAAGAATAACAAAAATACGAAAACTCAATTTTTATAGCTAAAAGAGTAGAATGCATTATGTTTGTGCTTTCATTTGTAGTAGCTAGCAGTACATCTCAAATATCCGTAAATTAATCTGTGTTTTCGCTATCAAAAGCCTCAAAACGAACATCTGAAAACATTATTCAGTACTATTTCGCACGTTTTGAAATTTGAAAAAATTATCTGTTCAAAATATCCCCTTTGTAGCTATGGGCTAAAGGGCTTAATTGTTTCATCTCTGTACAGAAGTCATACATTAAATGGATTTCGACCTTGATTGGCCAATATGCGAAACTTCTTCTAACCCGAATATAATAAATTTTTATGTTTTGCCGCATATGCTAATTTCAATTAGATTGGATGAAACATGTTTATTTACTCTAATAAGAATTCATTACATACACTTTTCAACAACACAAGGGATTTAATCTTAATGCAACGTTAGAATTTTTTTAATTTAAGAAAAACAAAATATATTTTAAGTTACTAGTTTTCTGATGAATCTTTTATAAAACTGTAATAACATGAATCATGGGAGCTTTATTTAAATCATTTACTTACTTCTCATATGAAAGATGTATCAACGAAACCAACAAAGGTATATATAAATCTAATTCTAAAGAAGCTTTAAATCATTGAAATAAGCGGGGCGAACGAATCGCAACAATACATTTGTATTATTGAAAATACCTTATAGGGCTTTATATGTCTATCTGCATTCTCCTAACGAAGCAAAGCAATAAATCGATTTATTTAAGTAATAATATTAATAATAACTAGAAGTAAAATGAGCAAACACGGTTTCTTACCCAGACAAAATTTACGACAAACATAATCGTTTAAGATAAAAAAAAATACAAATGCTTTATTTTAAATTTATACATTTGTGTAGCTTAACAATATTATTATTCAATTAGTGTATTCATTGTGAGCTTAAGATAGGAACTTATCAAAAAGCTTTAACTTTTACTTTTTTAAGAGAAGTTTATTTCCAAAAGCTGTAATCAATTAAAAACTATGTGGATTAGAAAGGCATTAACATAATCTAACTTGACACGGTCGAAACAATAAAAAAAAAGAATAATGATTCCTTGTTTATTGTCCTGTAACATATTCATATTTTTCAGTAGCGTAAATAGCAACAATAGACGCATCGGAAAACGTGTTTCAGTAAAAGGAGCTTTTCATATTATTATTTAACTACACGTAGCATAAAATATTTTTTCTAAGAGAATTGTTAGGCTACGTAATTTACGACTAAAGCGAAAAGTAATAGAAATTCATTTAAAATTTTTTTTATATTCATCATAGAACTCATTGAAATTATACTTACCGTAAGTTTTCACTTTCGTTTTGTTTAGGTCGAAAATCAGCTAAACCGCTTTAACAACAGTGTAATAATTACAAAGATGATGCTCATTTTTTTTTTGTTAGTAATAAACTTTCTAGTAAATTAAAAGCGAGCATGTGCTGCGTGATGCGTCTTGCAAATATCAGTGAAAGTAATATTTTGCAAATATTTATGAACTTCATCATAGCATCCTTATTTATTACAATATTTGTACGGTATAAAAATCTTTCCTTTTTCAATACATTTCAATCAAAAACTTCAGATAAATCCGTTAAATAAATAAATACCTAAGTTTATGACTATTCAAAAAGGTCCTTTAATTATTCTACGTAAACACCATGTGAATAGGTCTACTAGAAATTCATTGCTTTTTAAATATTTTTCCCCTTAGATGACGGAGTAACGAAGGCTGCTCTTAAGACGAATCTATGTTTTTTATCTGTTTTTTTAATTATATTTATATTAGTGCCTTTTAAGTTAGTTTCTGTTGAACACTTTTTTGTTTGAAGTAAAGTTTCAAGTTTCCCATTAAAAGTTTGTTATAAAATGTCAGCATAGCACATAAACTAACTGTTTTTTAAATGTTTTTCCAAATTAGAAATTATATTTTATTTTAAGGCACTCTTTCTTTTTTTCAGTAAGTACAAAACGTAAAATGCTATGAAAGGAAAGCTACATTTTTTTTTTTTAACAGAAACTTCTAAGACTTCAAGCCGGGAATATTGTCTTAGTTTTAAATACAGGAAGAAATTTAACTGAATTATAATGCACATGTACATGTGAGTATATGTTAAGTACACACAAAAATACACACATGCATTAAATATGTATATATTACTAGATTAATGAAAATTTGTAAAGTGATTTGGGAATTATTGCAACTGTACGTGATTGTTCGAATTAATCAATTTTTGATAAATTGTATGTAGTTTTGTTTAAGAATGAAACACATGCTGTCAGTTAATCATAATTTTTCTCTTACACACCATAATAAATAGTTTTAGATATTAAAATTTTTGGATTTGCGAATATATAAACATTGTGCAAAAGTACTAAGGTTCAATAAATGTCGATGTAACTCCACTTATTCTCCGACTTTCAATGTTTTAAAAACTAAAACAAAAATATATGGTCGTTTTCTCGTTACTCAAAAATTATAAAACGTAGAAACCTGGAAAAAAATCGATCACACAGTTATAAGAGATTATATTTTCTGTTCTCACTTTATTGAGGTTTTTATGCTTATTAATCATAAGGTAAACAAGACAGAATGTTTAAAAGTATTTTGTACATTGCTCAAATGAATATATATTACGCGCCTAAAAACGCGTCAATTCTAAAATAAATATGGGGGACACCATGACCTAATGGATTCATTTTTTTTTAATAATACCAGCGCTATGGGTATCAAATAAAACAACTCGGAGAGTAGAAGGCGACAATGTGAGTGTACTAATTTTAAACTAACCCGTTGTCGTAAATTACTTATATAGACTTCCATTGCGTGTCCTTGTAGATGTCAACGATGTCTGTATCAATCCTATATTTTTGGTTTTGACGAACAAAAAAAAGAAGTGTGTTTTTGCAAGCACTCACTGATTTTAAAGTGACCGCCAACGTCAGCACATGGTAGATAAATTTCTTTTTAAAATACTGTCCATACGGGTGTCAAATAAAAGAGATAAGGGGGTAGAATACGAAAAGTTAAGAGTGTTAATTCTAAATTAATTATGGACGACGTTACCACGAGGTAGGTTAATTTTACCTTTTAGTGAAGTAATAGGTAAAAGATAAATTTTATCCAATTCACTTTTTTATGACAATAAACAAAAGATTGGGCCCCAAAGATTTTACTGGTGGTGGATATGCGCGATTCCGACCGGCTCTGTCGTGCCGCCATTAGATGTGAAATGTTTCGATTTCTTTTTAGGCGAATAAAATGAACTATTTAAAAAGAAGGGAAATTGATGAACAATGCCGCATTTTTAATAATGGTTGGACCTTGCAGTGATATGAAAATTAAAATTTTGGGATGTTGATGAAAGATATTTTATACCAGCAGCATCATGGTTGCGGTTA